AAAAAAAGCTTCTATCTTTATAGCTGTGGAACCAAAGCGAAGAAGTTTATGGTCTCTCACTGTCAGCAGGTTTATGGAAAATTTATAGTATATGTTCTAAGTTCTGAGTTTACCATCTTTTTTGTTGGAATGCTTACTAAAACTAGTGCTGAAAAAAGACCATTATAGGATTAGGAGTTTTTCTATCTTTAAAGTTTCCTATAATTTGAATAGTCTTTCTGTAGTGTTTTTATTTTCATCTCCTTTTCCCTCAAACTGTTATTTTATCTTATCCAGAATCAAGAATCTGCTCAGGCTGTTTCTTCCTCATTTCTTTTTTCTTTTTTTTTTTTTTTCCTCCCTGTAAACTGAACTTATTTTGTTACCGTTCCCTAACTGGCTTTTGGGACTTTCAGTTAATAGAAAATTGCTGATGGCACTGGAAATCCCCAAACCTTCTTTTGTTTTTTTAGATAATTTAGAGTAATATTTTCTATAATTTTTTTAATCTGTCCTTTCCTGTTTCCGAGTCCATTTTGCTGGTACCACATTATTCACAATCAGTGGAAGGAGGCTGTTTCTCTTTTTTTTTTTTTTTTTTTTTTTGTTAAGCTATGTTCCAGTTTTGAAGTGAAAATATGTTAATGTTGTCTATTATGGTAAGAATCCTGAATTTGATTCAGTACCCTCCTGTCTGTTGCTGGTAAAGGTGTTGGACTGATGGTCCACTTGAGCCAAACTGCACTATGCATGACTTGGTTAGCTTAATCTGATGACTCTACTCATTTGTCAACAAAAAAGGCAGAAATGTAAAAACTAGAAGCTAACTGTTCATGAATGAATTGAAATTAACAGAATTTGCCTCTAGAAACACCTAATTATTCTTCAGCTGTACACAATGTTAATTTAACCACAGAGCCACAGAAATGTGATTTTGTTTTAATGTTAATACGTTTGGTATTTTGTTAGTATAATTTAGAATAAATTCCTCTCTCTGGAGCATCTGAGTTGGGCACTGGAACTCTGGTATATCTACAAAAGGAAAACAGAAAGGTTGGCATTTTAAAAAGGGGAGCACAGGATTTAATCCATCACTTCCATTCATTTAATCAATTCGTTTCTCATTTCCAAGAGGAGAGTGTCTGAATCCTCACTGTTTCAGAAACTCATCTCTTGACTCAGTCTCACTAAAAACCACTGTGTATGAAGAAGCAATCTCTGCTCTGACCTTCCTGCCAGCATGTCTGTAGTGCTCCTCAGTCACAGTGGACTGTCCCCTCCTGTTTTTTTCAGTCCGCATTCTTTCTTTCCTTCCTGTTTCTTCTCTATTTTAACATCTGCATGCATACCATGTATGCATAAATCTGGATGGATCTAATCCAACATTCATTTTATTTGTATATTCCCAAACTTCAGAAACATGCAAAAAACCAATCTATACGTGATATAAATTTAGTAAATCTTAGGATTTTGTAGAACCACTTTCCCTCTTATTTTTTTGAGGGTGTCTGAGGAAGACTGGAGTAGATGACTTTCTCCTGTAGTATTGTGCTCAGTAAATCCAAAAGAACTCCAAACCTTCATTAAGGTGAGAGAAATATATAGGGCAGCTTGGTTGCAATTGAATACACGTTAGTAGAGAAATTACCAAATCTGGAAAGGCAGATTTCCCCTTGACTAAGTATTTTTTGAACACTTCTGTCTAACACTGGAAACGAAGCTGCTGCAGCCAATCCATGTTTTATTTACTGTCTGTCGTTACAGCATGTGATTTTTTTAAAAAATACACAGTGAATGAGGCAAGCCCTTCTGTATGAGATCTGAGCATTTTTAAAGGCATACATGAAGTGGGATTTAGTGAAACCAAATTTTTGCGCAGGCTTTGTGTCCGCTGGTAGAAAGTACCAAATATTATTGCTATACCCTGTTCACATTTCCATATTGTGCTCATAACATGTAAAACATGACATCTAATAGATCAGGGTGATTAAACTGGGTGGTGGAGTAAGTCCTGGCCTTTAAGCACAAAGACTGGGTTTTAAAAACCTAGGCCTCATTTTTCTGGGGGGCAAGCCCACAAGCAGACACATCTGATGCCATCTCTAAAGCTGGGTGAATTAGCAGCATGTGTTAATTTGGAGCAAGCAGGATAGTCATTGCCATGCAGGACAAAAAACCAGCCCCCTCTGGTAATCTGTTGCATTTCATAGCTTTTTTTTTTTTTTTATATATATATATCTAAAAATCCCACTTATAGCATGCAGAATCAAAATTTGATGTTTTGCAGTATAGACAAATCAGAAATTCAACTTCTTCATGGCATTTGGCTTGACTAACCTCCCGCCTCACCCTTGCCCTTTCTTGCTCTCTCACTCTTCTTCCACAGAAGAGGTCAGTCAAACATTACAGGATGCTATCACAGGGATTCCCAGCCAGCCCCTAAGACCTTGTTGGTGGCACTCCCATTTTTTTCTTCCCAGATGTGTATGAGGCTGTGCGCTGCAGGGATACTGCACTTATCTATTGCTGAGCCCTTTTAGGGGGCAGGACTTTAACTTTCCACACTGGCTTGTGGAAAGCTGCTCATAGGGTCCCTAGTTTAAATAGTCCAGAGCAGAAACGATGGTCCTTTTACTTAACCCTACAGGGTGGCTTAATGCTGTTTGCATACGGTGGAAATTTTAAATATTTGTCTCCCTGAAAACACTTAACCCTCCCAAAATAATTAATGAGGTTTTTGAAACCTGCATGCAGGGAGCACTGAGGTTGCACAGGATGCACTCAGGAGTCAACGCTCCATATGCACACTTACATCTTCCGTCCTCTGCATAGCTATTTATGCATTTTATTGCGTATCGATTCTAACATAGCATACGTGTTGGATAATGCTTTAAATAAAAATGTAAAGTCCATTTTGTAGCACACTAAAGAAGTGGGTACTTCTTACGGAAGGCAGATTCACGTTAATTCTCAGATTAGTCAGTGTAATACAAGATAATGCTTTTTCTACGTATTTCCAAAGCACGAAATGCATTCTATAAGAGTGACTGACCTTAAACTCGTAACTGCCATTCATTTCAGTCTGTGTAGCCCAGCAGACTGGCTGCTGAGAGCTATGCTTGCTTGCTGTTTTGCGAGGCTCTGCAGATGCGTGTTCGCCCACTTTACGCAAACATGCATGCACTCTCTTTTTTTTCTCTCACACTGTCTGGCATATTTTCAGAATAACTCTTCGAAGACTTTCTGAACTGCTGGGTATGATTGTCTGATTATTATTTTTTTTAACTGGGAACATGTTTAGTCCAGTGTTATTTAAACAAGCTTATCTCTTTGATCAAAGTCTACAATCTGAAATTTGAACGGGGTAGGGAGGGTGACTGGGTGGGTGAGGAAACCTATCAAGTACATGTTTGTGTGTGTGCTGCTGTCTTCGCTGGGTGCCTATGGAGGTGCAAATGTATATTGCTTCAGAATAATCTTGCAAATATAAATAACTTTAGCTATTTTAGTAGCAGTTTTGAAAAGTTAGTATTATTACTACTAAAGTAAAATCGTTTTTAGTAAACTTTTCTTGAAGCTATTAGTGACCTGCATATTCGTTTTTTCGGTTTCTTGGGTTTTTTGAAGGTTGTGCTGAATAACTGTGGAGGTTGTTTAAGTATAGCATAGACTTTGCTAGTATTCAAAGCATACTAACAGGAGCCCATATATTAATGCATTTAGGGTTGGCATTAACCTATTTCACTGACTGAACCACAGACCACAGCAAAAAAAGCTAAAGAGCTTGAAACAGTTTCTGGAGGTTTTTATTTAGCTGGTTCAGGAGAACTGGTTTGTGCAAAGTTAAAATTATATGGAATGAGATTGCAAGATGAAGCACGCGTGCCACACCTTTTCATTATGTTCTCTGTCTTCCCTTTTTTTTTTTCTAAATATAACTTTGAGAGGCATTTCAGTTTATTTTAGAGCCGATCCCATTTGATTACTTTAGATTACTTGATTTTCTAGTCCGATTTAAAAATTCAAGTTTGCTGAGTTTTTGTTCACAGGATTAGGAAAAAGAATTTCTTGTATTCAATTCATGTGTCATGCAATCAAATAGTTTTTCCCTAACTTTTAGGATCTTCCTGTGGCAAAGTCTGAGTGATGCTTTGCTTCATCATTTTACAGCCTAAAAAAGAAGCAGACAGAAACGTCTAGGCTAATCCAAAGCTTTTCCTCGCTTTTTAATGTTACTATCACACTCTAGTAACTTCAAGTTGCCGTTACTGATGAAAGCACATTATAAACCTTTTCTTCTACATAGATATCAGACACCCTTTAATTTTGTTAGCTAGTTTTATTGACTGAGGCTTGTTATACACACACACACACATACACACACACACACAGAAGCATGCGCTTGCACACACACACAGACACACATTCTGCTTTGCCCTATCTCAGTTACAGCACAGTCCTACCCAGGGTCACTACAACGTACACATTACATATTTCTAGCAAACATGAAAATGAATCAAACAGGAGGAGAGATAAGCACAGATAGATTGGAGCCTGCTGAGGAAATAAAAGGCAGTAATCTGCCTGACCACTGGACTACCCTTCCTGATTGGATTTAAGCGTTCTTTCCCGTTAGTTGCTGCGGAGCACAGGCTACTCTGAAGTGAAAAATTAAATGGCTAGTAGGAATGAAGCAACACGTAGAGGCACAAATCTTTGGTATAACTCCAAAACTAATTGTTTCTGAAGTGATGTTTAAACCAACGTCGCCACAAGGCAAGAGTTCCTGGCTGGCGGCCAGCACCTTGCAATGCATATTAGCGTAGATGAGGAGTTCCTAAAAGTTAGAGAGAGGGAGAGGGAAGGAGGGGGAGAGAGAGAATGTACGTTTTCGGTGCTCATTCTGCATTTGTTTGTATCCTCCTCCTTGCTGAGATTAGAAGAATACCTGTGTAGTGCTGCTTTATTATGATTTCTGCTGAGCCTCAGAATAGGTTCTGGTATTTTTTTTAGGTGGACTGCCAGCTGCCGATCTCGCTGTTGACAGTAAAAGCAGATATGTTCCTTGCTCACTGCCATTAGCGCTGACCATGACCCTTCACACCAAAACCTCTGGAGTTACCCTGCTGCACCAGATTCAAGGCACTGAACTGGAGACACTGAGCAGACCTCAGCTGAAGATTCCCCTGGAAAGATCGCTCAGCGACATGTACGTGGAGAGCAACAAGACAGGAGTTTTTAACTACCCAGAAGGAGCCACTTATGATTTTGGTACTACGGCTCCAGTGTACAGCTCTACTACCCTCAGTTATGCCCCTACTTCTGAATCTTTTGGGTCCAGCAGCCTGGCAGGATTTCACTCGCTGAACAATGTCCCACCAAGCCCAGTGGTGTTCTTGCAGACGGCGCCCCAGCTCTCACCCTTCATCCATCATCACAGCCAACAGGTACCCTATTACCTTGAAAATGAACAAGGCAGCTTTGGGATGAGGGAAGCTGCTCCTCCAGCCTTCTACAGGTAAATGCTACAGACAATTTTTCTTTCTTCTTTAAGCGGATGAACTGAGAAAATTAGAATGTGGAAATCTGTATGCCCTAATCTTTTCTTTTTGTGTAAAGGACCGTGTGATTTAATTGAATCCTCTACAGCGTTTAGAGCATAAAAAATGCTGTAGCATAAACCAAAACTGTAATTCACAGCTCACTGTGACTGTAAGCTGTAAATTTTGAAAACCGTACATAAACGGGAAACAAATGGGATAATGAGTATAAATATTTTCCTGGGAAAACATGAAATCATCATTGATTAAATGTCAAATGACCTCCCTGTTGTAATAGATTAGAATTACTGTCTGAAGTATACTAAAAAGACTTCCACCATCACCCATTTCTGGGTGTGAGTGGTTGTTTGTTCAGCTCTTAGCTGGTCGTAAGAGTATTTTTCCCCTCTGGCTTCCTTTACAGTGTGAGAAGCATCTCATATGGGAAGTAGTTCAGAAGCACAATATCCTTCCTAATCAAACTGTTAGACTTGACTCAGGGACAGCATTTCAGTCGGAAACCACCTTCATGGGCTATCCTCAGAGCTGTGCACAAACTAACCTGCATTTTTCATTGGAGGGTCATATATATTAACCATAAATCTGGCATGCTGCATTTCAAAAGATAGGATATTTGGTGGTTTTATATTTTTGTCCCTCAATAAAAGTGGGGTTTGTTTGTCTGGAATAAAAAGATTAAAAGTATCTTTGGAGGGGGGGAATAATTTTCCTTGGTTTAAATATTTTTTTGTCAGTTGTGAAAACATTTATGAAATTTTTGAAGTGGTAGAAATTGATAGAACTGTATCTTGCAAGAAAATATACTCACACACACCAATACCCACACTGTTAATGTTTGTGTAGTGTTAATAGCATAGTTTTGCGTCAAGTTATACTGGGCTTCAGTGAGTCAAAGCAAACAGTTAAATGTCAATTTTTTTTTTTTCTAAACTCTGTTTGAGACATACAGGTGAGTTTGCTAGAAATGGAAAGACTCTGAAAAAAATAAAACTGAGTTATTTTTTTCCCTGTTTGAGGGCCAGAGTCTGCTAGACTTATCTGCACAATATAACATGTTACTCTGAACAGCAACGTGTGTTCGTAAAGGCAGTCTAACTCAGCCCGACTGATAATCTGGTAGCAGAATCTGGTCCAAAAAAACAGATGCTGATTGCACTTTTTGCAAATGATTAATCAGTTTTGGGGAGCAGATGGAATAAAGACTGGTGAAATGCATAAGGTTTATAAGAGATCACTGTATCACACAGTCTGACAACAGAGTTGGTTCAAACAAAATACATTTCAGTGCAACTGAAAACCATACCTCTAGGGAGAGTGAATACGTGTCAGAGCAAAAAGGTCCTGAATGATTACCAGTGACTTGAGAGTGAAATTGTACTTTGTGCTAGATTAAAGGATTTTTTTACGCAAACGTCCAGTGCAAACCTATGGTGAAAAGTGTGTAAATGACCTTAGATGGGTAAACAGCGGAGTAGTGAGTTTGTGAAGTTGAAATACACAGGCAGCAAATGTACTACAGGCAGTGCATTTTACTTCAGGAGGAATCAAAACCTAGAATCACCTGGAAATAGAAGTTGAACTATGGAAATTATGTCCTTTTATTTTTAAACAGTGAATTACGGTGAGACACTTCAAAATAAAATTAGCATACTTTTTTAGTTAACTACTGGAGCAAATGTGTAAGGCCAGTGCTGGATTCCCCATTTCCTGACATTTCTGATCAAGGATGGGTGTCTCAGTGAAGATGTGTTTTAGTCATATGCAATTGATGAGGCTTAGTGCAGCAGCAATGAGAAGTATTTATGATCTTGGATATGCAGGTGGTTTATTTGCATACAGAGTTGTACAAATGATTTAATGGTCCCTTCCAGCCATAGTTCTGTAAAGCGCATCTTATGTGGTAATAAGAAATGTGTATCAAAGTGCTTGCTATGATTATCTTTTGTTAACAGGCATAATACTGATGGAATTAAATTGATAAAAGATTTGCTTTTTTTATTTTAATTTTTGCAAGATTGTGTTTACAAAGTTATCAACCTCACGACATTAAATATTAGGTCTTTATTCTTGGGTTTTGGCACAAATCCAATCACCAATAGACTGTTAAAAATAATTTGAATAGGTTTTCAGTGTCTGGGAAATATTTAAATATCTAATCCCGGGTTTTAAGGACATATTCTTTAAAAAAATATTCTAATGCATAAATTCCCAATTTACTTTATTCATTTGGCTATTCTCTTTAGTTTCAGTTGGGTTATGGGAGAAAAGACAGCGTGGGGCAGTGTAATCTGGCAATGAATAAACTGATGCTGGAGACTGGAAGATGTCTACCAAAATGGTGATTTTCTGGAACACCCTATCAGTAGGAGTGGTAAAGGCAAACATTCTCAAACCAAAAGCCCTAACAAAATTTAAAAAGGATCATGATCAGTTTATGATGTGACCGCCTGCTTCTATAATAAATAATGTAACCTAAGACCCAGACAGACTCCTCTGCAATTCTCATTTACCTTTCTGTGTAACAGAATTGTGCTATTTGGCTTGTAAGACAGAAATATTTGCATTGCATCATCCTGTTATACTCCCGATTTGAGATGCAAATGCTGCATTCAGTGATACAAGTGGCTAGGACAATAAATGATCATTGTCGGTAGGATCTGAAATGATATGCTCTTAATACTTGGATAAAATGTTAAAAATCTTCAGTCACAAAACTTACTGTATGTGTTAAGGAAAACTTTTAGTTTAATTTGATTTTGTGTATTCAAAACCTTGCTGATTAGACGCATGTGTATTAATTCTGAAGTTATGTTTTATTTCTTTCAAATAGTGTTTCCTTTTACAAAAGGCTTTGTCTCTCACTGCAAGATAATGACAAACTTCTATATCTAGCTGAAGAACATAATGATACACAAAGAAAAGAATGATTTTGTAAAGAATACAAAAAAATACACTGATTACCTCCTTTCTGGAGTCTCTAAATCATGGGACACCAGAATTTGAGAAAAAGGAAGGTCCTTAATTAATTCAAATTGTGCTGTCTTTAGCTTGACCCCTTTTATGTCTGACCTTGTGGCTGTTTTTATAGGGAGCCAAACTAAAATACCTTTCCCTTATCTTACAATGTCTGTATCTTCCAGTAAAAGGGAGAAGACATAGCACTAGTTATGTTTTTAATTGTCTTCAAATCTCACTTATATTTCATTTTCTTGATTGTTTTTATAGTAAGCATTTTTTTTTTATTAAGTGCTGACCAGTAGTTGATTACTATTACAGGAAATCTTGTACTCATGAATATTAGACTAAATTAATTGAAAGATTGCTTTTGTTCTTGGCTATTAAATTTGAGTTCTGGTCATTTCTGGTTATTTCCTTGTGCTTTTTGGCAGGTATTTGTTCATTCAGGGAAAAACTTAGAATCTTTTCAGTAGCTAATTTACCTCTGTGAATTCTAACAAGCAACAGTAAAGATGAATCCTTTTCGTTCTGCCAGTGTGTGATGTTCCTGTGTCATCCCACTGAGTTTGCACTTCTCAGATCTGAAGTAAAACCGTGCCAGTGTTTCAGGCTCTCTCTAGCCTGTGTTTGGTGCTGCTTCCAGATTTGGCCAAAACCCATGTAAAAATGGACTACACCTACCAGCTACCTGATGAGGGAGTTGTCTGTCAGTCTGTAGTGAGTGACAGCAGCAGGGCAAATCAGTGTACAAAAAGAAATACCAGATGGAAAATCATTCATCGCTCCCTCACTTTTAGGGGCTAGTTTGTGAGTATCTTCTAGTACCTGAGGCTCTAGGTTTAGATTAATATAATAAAGTACTTATTTAGCTTTAGTCCCAGTTATCGTACTGAAATTGACTCTGAATCATTTTAAACCTGTTGTTCCAATCAATATGATCACAGCTTTAATTTTTAATGCTTCCTAAATTTGAGAACGATTATAGATGTAGATCTTTTCCTCTTCTTCTGCAATTCATAAACCAATCAGTCCAAAAAATAGTTACTTAACATAATATGTATATTTTTACCTTGTTCGATTCACTATGAATTTTTCTAGCTCTTCATGCTGCATTCTAAGGAAAACAGATTTTTCCAAATTTTAAAACAAAAGAATGTTACGATGAATGCAAAATTCAAAGATATGTTTTCTTTTTTTTATGCAGTATGAGTTATTCCATATTGTGAAGGAGTACTATATAATGTAGTGTTTTGGTTTGGTTTTTGTTGTTGTTGATTTTTCTTGACAGCATCAATCTGTTCTAAGGTCCCCTCTCGAACACAGTTCAAGTGTTCAGGCAGTTTCTCGAACGCTTGGAGTGTTCCTGTTTTCAGAGCTTGTACTGATATCCCTGACAATTTTACAGCAGTAGATGACTGTCTTCCTATCTCATGGAAGTGTTATAAAGATAAACCTGTTAAATGTTCTGAGATACTCGCACATTACAATTACGAGGGTCTTGTACATACCAGCTTTGCTGTTTCTGCAGATCTTCTTAGGGAATGTGCCGATGCAGATCCTGCTGCAAGTGTGCTTGCACCATAAAGTCATCAACCCCTATTTTTGAGAAGCACGTGTTCTGTGCCTGAACAAGGCCAGGCAGCAGTGGAAAGGGGTAAAGGAGCTGTGATGCTTCCTCATTACCCTCCTTTCTGCCAAGGTAGGAAAATGAATCTCACCTGCTCGCTTTGAGCTTCCTTTCCAAAGTTTTTTTCTTATTGAAAACTTTAAGAAAACTTTCTTCACTTCTTTAGCAGATGTATTTTTTGTGTTAACCAAAGACTCAGGAAGTGCTCCATATACCAAGTCCTTTCCATGGGGATTTAAAACTTGTGGTTAAACCCACGTTTGTTCAGGCAGGCCGTGTGGGTGGGGTTCATCTGATTAAGCATAGACTCCTAGGGCCTGATTCAGTTTCCCACTCCTTAGGCATCTGGTGCTATTTGAGAGGCTGTAAGGT